ATTTACGTTGTGCGTGTGTTGCTGTAGGGCTTGTTCTTGAGGTAAAACTATTTTGAAAAGAAAGTGCCACAAAAAGAAGATGTTGCACCATCTAGTTTGCATTTCATTAATAAAAAACTTAAACCTTTTCTTTATAAAACATAAAACACCGCAAGTGGAAACCTTTGCTTATTACAAGCTTTTATTTAACTTGTATGTATGTATGCATGTAATTTGTTCGGGTGGAATCTTGCAACTCAATTTTGAAGCTGATATCTTCAAGCGATTGAGCTGAAATTTTGTATACACTTTTAGTTTGGATGACAATGCATGTTTTGACTATTTATGTTCCGATATTGCAATTAGTTACAACGATATTAATTAAAAACCTTAAAATGCATAACTGTCTTACCACTGTGGGCTGTTTATTCCACTGGGCTCGGTGAAGAGATAAATAACGAGATGAGGGGAAATTTTTTGGGAGTTTTGACGTTTTTAAAGCGCAATCTAATTTTATTTATGAAACTCAGACAAAAAATAATTACAGAATCAGAAAGATCCTTTATTTCGCCACGATACGGTATAATATTTTTTGACAAAATAATAATATTGTATTTTTTACGATTTTTTTTTAAAAATGAGTCAAAATCGATGCGTTTTTATGAAGATTATGTCTAAATTGTTGCCTATGAATTTTTTTTCTTTTAAATGAATCGACATCCCATACTAAAACAGCTCAAGTCTTGCTGTTTTAGAATGTCATTTAAAAAATAAAAAATGTCCAGAAAGTTTTTTTTTCACGATTTTTCAAAAATTACTCAAAGTTTTAATTAAACATTTAATAACTTCGCCATTTATAAAGATAATCTCACGAAACTTTTTTTTCGTGTGTAGAACAATATTTTCCAAGATCCGTACGAAGACTGAAAAAATTGCTTAAAAATTACGGATTAAAAAAAATTGTGTTTTCCGTCTAATACCCTTTTTCCGAGAATTGATTCATCTAAACTAGGAATGGCAAACCAGCGTTGAATGAACAAAAAACAAAACAAAAATAAAAAAAAAAAAAATAAAAAATTCTTTTTTGTAAAGTTTTTAATATTTAATGAGAGAGTGAAGTAGAGAAATAATTTAAGTATAATAATTTAACAAGCAACCAATTCAATCCTATTTTTGCTGGTTAGATATATAGTTAGTATAGTTACACTTTCAAAAATGAATTAAAAATAAAAGCAAAAAAATTTTTAAAAGCAAGCTTTTATTTAAATGCCCTTAAAAGGATAAAATAAACTTATCCTTTAAAACTTTTTTTACTATCAACTTATAACGTCATTGCACAATTTGTATGATATAAAAGCTTGTCGCGAGATTAACCTGTGTAGATAAACAAGTAAATTAAATAGCTTGATATGATTGATTTTAATTTTTAAAATTTTCAAACTAAGTAAATACGAGTACTTTAATCTCGCGACGAGCTTTTATATCATAAAAATTGTGTAATGACGTTATAAGTTGATAGTAAAAAAAGTTTTAAAGGAAAAGTTTATTTTATTCTTTATAACGCATTTAAATAAAAGCTTGTTTTTAAAAGTTTTTTTGCTTTTATTTTTAATTCATTTTTGAAAGTGTAACTATACTAACTATATATCTAACCAGCAAAAATAGGATTGAATTGGTTGCTTGTTAAATTATTATACTTAAATTATTTCTCTACTTCACTCTCTCATTAAATATTAAAAACTTTACAAAAAAGAAATGTTTTGTATTTGTTTTTTTCGTATTCTGACAATGTTTTACATTCCAACAGCAATAAATGATAAAGGAAGCCAAACAAAGGCAAAATGGTAATTTGGACACAACACAATAGTGGAAAAAATGGGTTAGTCTCTTACCGAGTTAATAAACAGGATCAACAAGAATCTTAGCCATCCAATTAGCATTGGTTGATGTACGTGCAACTCAACAAAAATGAGAGCATTTGAATATTAGGCCGCTTCTCACTATTTATCTTCCTTCTTTACGAATACTGATCTCCACTTTTTGTTTGGGGTCTCTTGGGTTTTGGAAACTGACAGGTGGGCACTCTCGAGTCCATTGCAGTTGGACGTGAATACAATAGGACAGAAGAAGTGTCAAATTCAGTGGTGAACTTTTTCATTTACATTCCGTCCGCCGACGGAAACAAAGTAACAGACGCACCGCTCCCACGACTTTCCTTGATTTTTGCTGATAAACGTCGAAATGGTACGGAATTTTAGATTTTATCTTTATAGATGTTTTGAGAAAGTTCGAGACTCATACGTTGTGCCACTCCTATATTAATTTTTCAATTGTAAAATCTGAGAGATATAAGTTAATTATTAGAGTGTATACTTTGATCTAATACTTGTTGCTTTTTCACAAACACATCTGTGTGTGAGCATAGATCATCAAACGAATCTAGAAATGCTTGTAAAACTTGTCATGCTGGATTTGGAACTTTGCTAGAATGTCGAAAATCCCCAACGATATTTCAAAATTTAATCAAATGGTATAGTTTCTTTTTTAAATATTGGTATTATTAGCATAGTATAATGCACAGTACTTATTTGCTTGCTTCCAATGTAAGCATAATAATTAAGCTCCTTTTAGCTTCTGGTATAATGGTGAAAACTTAATCAAAAAATGATTCCTATTCAAATTTTGTTATGAATTTTGAGAGAGAATGGCAAAAATCTAGCAGCATTGTCCTTGTGGTTAGCTGGTTTTTCTCTGAGTACTACCAAACGTTCTTACGTGCACACATACAGTTGTAGAAGTATTGAATGTTAAATAAAATTAGGCTCAAACTGATCAAGTGGCGCTTGTGGAAATGATTTACGTTAGGTATTGCAATATCGGACCGAAAGTTCAATACCGGTATTCGGTACTTCTTAGAACATAATACCAGGATATCGATTTCAATACCGGTATTAGAAATTTTAGAAAAAGAAAGAAAACACGGGGTTTCTTTGTTTTACTTGCCAGTTTTATTAGAGATTGTGAATATCACAAGAAATAATTTGTAATTTATAAATTATAACAGTATATAAAGAATCACAAAAAAATAAATAAAGGAACAACTTATTTATTTAAATCACGAAAAAGGGCAAATATTACTATTCACAAACAGTCTGTGGTACTATTACACAAATTTTTGAAATGTTCTTAAAAAACATAATGCATTAATTGTACTGTCATTAAGCCTGGATTATAATTTTGTGCAAAAATTACCAGCTGTCGAAAACGCTCTTTCGGCACCTACGCTAGTTGGTGATACTGTTAGCAATGCGCGATATACTTTTTCCAAGTATTTACCTCTAAATCCCTCATCTTCAAATAAATCAATTTCTCGTCGGATGATTTTTGATATAGCTGATTTCTGTACTGTATTTTGGTTTGTTGAAATTTTTTTAGTTATCGCTAATTCAAATTTTTGTTCAAGAGACAGTTCCTTTTCACTATTGACATTAGTGTCATCATCATCATCGATAACTGTACCGAATTCTTGCCGTGTAGGGGAGCGATGCACGTTAAATCTGTCGAGAGCTCAAACGTCCTCCCGTTGGTGTGGTGTGGTAGTTAGGAGAGGGGTACCAGCTCAGGTGTCGTCTGCGTCACTTGACCATGGTTCAAAATTACGCGGACCGTCGCCAAAAGCCCTCGTGTAGCTAAAACAGTGCGACGTTTATATTCACTCACTCACTCACTCACTACCGAATTCTTCTGAATGTGTATTGGTATGTGCGCTAAAAAATTTAAGAAAATTTTAAAAAACTTGATCAAATTTGATTTGTTTAGTCTCTTTTCTTCTTAACTGTAGAACATTTTTTACATTGTACCATAAAATTCTTTCATCATATAAATAATGAAACCAAATCGAAATATAATATACTGATTTTTTAATGTTCTTTAAAGTTATTCTTATTCATATATATATTTTTCCATATAATGAATCTGAAAAACACATTTTGAATTCGAAAGTATGATACAATATGAATTACAAACTCACCAATTTAGAAAATATCGAAATATTACGCATTTTCTTCACAAGTACAACCTTGGTTTCTCAGATACGAATATCAGACTACTTTTCCTGTGCAAGTCCTGAGCTGAAATAGGACATTTTTGGCCTTAGATGTGATTTAGATATTTTATAACTTTTCTTGATTGTACGATACAACTTCGTACTCACAGTCTAATTAATTTCGCCTGTTACGGAAACATTTTAGTAACAGGTGTTGATGAACGAAGGAAGGCAGATGAGCTTGGATATGTTATTCCTCTTCAACGAGAACTTAGCTAGGAGTAGTGTATTTAGTTATTTTGTCAGAGAAATAATTTATGCCATTTTTAAGTTCAGATTAATATTCTTTTATCCCGTTGTATCTGTCAAGGAAAAAAAATCAGATGATGGATTTAAGGAGTTGTCTTAGAACTGTAGAAACAGCTAGGAAAAATAAAAATAAGAACAACGGAATGAGCAGAATAAAGACATTTAATATTTTCATCTTCTGAAATGAACGTAAAATTATTTCATTTATAATATATTTTAATCTTGGTGCAATCTTTTACACTATAACATAAACACAAAGACGTATAATATATTGCTATGGTGGCGAATACCAAAAAACCGGTATTTGAACTTGTTAATACCGGTATTTCGAAACTGTACAAATGGCTCAAAATACCGGCATTCGGTATACCGGTACTGCAATCTCTAATTTACGTACTCTAATATCGTCTTTGTTAGGAGAAAAGAATCCGTCTGTTTTTCTCCCCTAAAGAAATTTGATGCCGACTAAAATGTTGTTGTTGTCCTGTGTATCATATTGGGATACATACGAAAGACATGGGTGAACACAGAAAGATACAATACAAACACAGAAGAATACAGACTTTATATTACAAATGATGATCCCAGCTTAGAGCAGAAGGGCAGGAATCGAAGCAGGAATCCATTTCAGGCAAAAATCTGACTTCTTTTCCCGAAGACACATCCATGCCTTATTCGGGATTCGAACCCGAGCCCACTCGATTACAAACCGAGTGGCTTGTAATCAACCACCATACTGGCTGGGGCGGCGTCAACTAAACTAAAATCATATAAAAGTAATTATTACTAATCAAATCAAAAAATGAAATGTCGATTCAATTATATTATATTCTTTAAATGTTTTATATTATAGCTATGAATCGAATTTGAGTAATAAATTGTTTTCTATAAAGCAATTAAAATCGTTTATAGTTATTTAAGTAAATATGTAGTTACTGTAATTTTGTACTACTGCTATAACAAAAAGAGCAACTTTGTGTCTCATAAAACCTAGAAATTAAATATTAAATCTATCAAATGTATCGCATTGTATTTGGAGTTGAATTAAAAATAGAATACCTTTCCTTTTATTTTTTTTCTTCTCTTAGTTATATGAGGATGTTTGTTTCTTTTTCTTTTTTTCTTTTGAATTAGTATGGGCCAGTATTGTTAATATTTTAGCTTTCGGAATTTTTGTAACATTTTTCTTGAATTTTCTTGTGTAATTAATACTCTCTAAAAATTGATCATTTATAAAAATGTATGGGTTGAAAAAATACAAAAATGCAGTTATTTTAAAGAGAAAATATTAATTAATGTCTTAAAGTGGTATTTAAGTTTATTTAAGCTTATTATAATTATTTTTTCAGAGTTATAAACTTTAAAGTGTTTTTCACAATTTGTGTCTTTTGATACATTAATGCATTGAAAATACTATTCCTTACTATTAAATATATTCATTGTTAATATTACAAAAATTCATCAATGTTATAAAGGAAAATGTATTAAGTATAGTATCTGTGAAATATACATACAATGTGCGCAACATCGAATAATAGACCTCCATTAAGAATCTTTGGTTACACTTTTGAACTAAAATCGATTCAATATATTTCATTTCAAACTCTTCTTTCTAATTTAATACAAAATAACTATTTTAACAACTAATTAATTTTAGATTATCTGGATAAGTTGTTTTTAAGTATTATTAGAAGGTTTTAATGGTATCAAAATTTTCATTTACAGTTTTACATTGGCTGGGTTGTGTAACAAAAGCGATTCGAAAAATTATATCGCCAATGTTGGCGGGTTAAAAGTCAGGATAAACCTAAAAATGCTTTCGTGAAAAAAGAATGTCATGAAATCTTAGAAGCTTCAAGACATTCCCGAATTTTAATCAATCAAGTCCAGCTTTCCCAAAGTCGTTGACCATCAAAACAAATCTTTCAAGGCGCTCTTGGAGAAGGCAATATCGAGTTCAACGGCTGAGAATTCTTTGATAAGGCTTAATCGATTGAAATCTATTTTTATTGGGTAATAGTTAGAATGATTTATAGAGCTTAGCACGCTAAAGTACGTGGTTTGATTGTGAATTATGTCCTACGGAAATATGTACACTTTGTTAAGTCACTTTAAAACTATTTCTTTACATTTCCTTCCTAAGGTTCTAAATTAGTTCATTAGAATTTCAAATGATTCTTCTTTTTGTACATATTGTTAGAGTAAAATTGAAAGTAAATTACAAGTATCTTTTTTAACGGATCACGTTATTTTAATTAAAAAAATATTTCTAAAAATTTCAATTTTTTTAGAACAGATTTTAAGTGAGCTACGCATATTACGACCCTTTAAAACTCATTACAATTAAGCAGATAACAGGGGAAAAAAAGATATTTTTTTACTCTAATCGGTTAGCTGGAATCTTTGCAAATGAAATTATGTACTTTATTATATCCTTAAATTAGGCCATGAATTAGTAGAATCTGTGAGCTGTTTTTAACATATTTCATTTGGCCCCATTCCACAGCATTCCTACTTAACCGCTTCCCTTACAAATTTTTTTGAAAGAAACACTACAAAAAATCATCACATGTTTTTACTTTATTATTAAATACAATGAAATGAAACAAAACAAAATATGTAGATTTTAAGTTGAATTTTTAATTTTTTTATTGGTATAAAAGCATTTAGTTTTAATATTAATTTACTATCCTGAGTTATCTCGGGCAAACGGAAAGGAGTTAAATATTAGTCATTGTATGATTGTTTTTGAAAACACACAAAATGATATCTGACATTAGTATACTGGTATCTTGTCTCTTTTCTTACGGTCTTACCTCTGGAATCTATTTTATGGGAGCACAGAGTACACTGTCTCGTTGGATTTGATTTTTTTTTCAGCAGCAGGAATAACATCTGGAGTGGTGAAGGACTAATGCTGGGTCTTCCAGATGTGACAGAAAACTCATCACGATGATTTTCTGACATTAGTTTTTCAATCAGTTCCATTCTAAATTGCTTAGGTGATCGCGTGAACACCTCCTACTACCCTACACTAACCATTTTGTCATTGTAGTAAGCTACACATTTAGGCCTAGATTTTTTCTCTCCCCAATTCTTTGTCATATCCTGCATTTCAACTGTATGTATTGTGGAAATAAGATTAACATCTTTCTTATTTTTCCATTTCATTACCAGTTACTTTTCCTCTCTGATATCCAATAAATTCTTTTTTTAAATTGCTTTGTCTTTAGATCTCGAAGTAAAGCTTTTCTATTCAATCAGAATGTTCCCCACATCAGTCTTCCTTTTGACTAACAAATCAGACAAACCTGGCAGTAATATAAAGTTATAAAAATTGTTATAAAAAGTTATAAAAATTATTATAAAAAGTTATAAAAATTGTCCAACTGCCAATCAAAGCTGAATATTTCCTTTCATTTCCTACAGGCACAGTAAAATCGTAATAAAAGTAATCATATTGACAAATTCTGCTTCGCTCGAATTTTCTCGGGATAATAATTAACTGCAATATATACGAACCCGAGATAACTCGGGATAATCAGGCAAGCGGTTAATGTAATTATCAAAATATTTCTTTATTTGTGTTGTAGCTTCTGTATGAATATTTGTTTTGCTCAGTGTGTATAATAAATAACTCTAAGCTTATATTCCCTGCAGCCAAAATTTTTAACGCGAATTTCCTTTCTGCTCATAACAACTCTCCTTTCTATTAAATTCACATTTTTAATTTAACAGTCTTCTTAAAATATTTTTTTAAAAAATTTCGTTAAATATTTTTAATATTATAGAAATGTACACACACACAGACGATTGTTTACAACCTTTATAATTCTAAACATTCCTTTCAAGATTCAGTGTACACTCCGTATAAAAAAATAGAAGTACGCTCGAACTTTTAAAGAAAAAGAAAGTTCTTTTCTATTTTTACATAAAATTTCTTTTATGAATATAGTGTTTTGATTAAATGAGTATATAAATTGTTGAATTGAAAATTTTATAACTTTAATAAATTTTTTAAAATAGTTTTTATTTTTCGTATGTTACAAAATAGTAGAAGGACACTATAGTTTTTACAGGAAACCCAATAATTTGGTAACAAGTTTTTTAAAACTTTTTTTATCAGTACAAGAACCCAATCGAATCATACAGTAGCGGGATTTTGGTTTGACAGAAATTGTCCCAACCGTGATTGAGTGCATTCATATGGCTCAAGGATCGATTCTCTCATATTCCTTTCCTTCGTCGTATATACGAACGTTGTCCCTATATTTTCTACAAGATTTTTGTCAGAGCTTTAGACTAGTCATAGCAAATTGATTATTGCTCGAATAGAACCAATTTTTCCCAGCATTTGCTGAGGGAATGGTTACATCGTCTTGATGATACTTCCAATAATCTCCAACAAATTGTGAGACTTAAGCAAGAAGCTCCGATTCCAAAGCTTGTATGTAATCTTGATGGTTTTGCATACTATTTAAGAATACTAGACTAATATCTCCATAGCCCCAACGGCTAACCCCTCCATCAAACTTCATCCTCCCATTTGACAAGTTAAGCAAAATTGTGCGTGATTCTCAAGATGATGCTAGCAGTATTGAGAGCTGTTAGACCTACCTAAAATACATTTTTCTCGTGTGAAATGTAACAGGATTCTTGATTTAAAAGACATCGTCTAAAAATGTATTTTGAGCAAAAAAGCAAAGGGAAAGAGCAAGGCTGATATTACAGCATTCGTCTTTCCAAAAACATCTCACTTATTCTAAACGTCAGAAGAATTTAGAATTACAACACTAGATGGAGGATTTCCTTCACCAATGTGAACTGTGATGAGTTTTATGATGATTTCAGAAGAAACGATGCAATTTTATTTAAGTAAACGTAAATTATATTATGTATGACTCTTTGTGTATGTCTCTCTATGTATGACTATTATTATGTATTATGTAAAGCTCTGAAAGTAAGCTTTAATGTGCCTCTTGCAACAAAATTTAGTATTATTATTTTGGGAAACACAGCAGTGTGTCTAATACTTTTTAAAATCTTTCAGAAGTAATAGAAATCAAATAAGAAGAGAGTTATTAATATGAGACACAGGCATGTGAAACTCATATGATGTTAGGCCACATGGTCCATTTATTATAATTTGAGGCCGCATGTTTCCAATCTTCAAAAATCAATAAAATACGATTTTATAATGTATTATGGTTTTTATTAGACTCAATGTAAAGCTCAATGTATTGTATATTATACATATGTCGTCGTTTTATATTCCATGCTATTTTTTTAAACTTTAACGAAAATATTTATATTTTTACATTAAAAAATAAAAATTATTATCGAAAATTCAATTTAACATTACTTTTTAGAAGATATTTGCCCCATCAAAATTTATTAAAAATACTTGAACTGTGTAATTTTAAAATTTATGATAAATGTTCGTTAGGGTTAATCTTGATTTTTCTGAAATTTCGCTATTTCTCATTAAAAAAATAATTGCCCGCATAAATGAAGCTTCCAAAAATATCATTCTTGTAACGATAAATTTTAAGAAACCGATCTACTGATAAATATGTATGAAAATCTAGAATTCCAACTTCCGGAGATTTTTGCTTCAACAATAATCACATTGGATTTCAATTAATTTCATTTGTAAGCTTTCATCGACAATTTCAATATCGATAGTAAGAAAAGAAGTAAAAGTGAGAAATTACAACTCTCAGCTTTTAAAATCAGAAAAC